CGAGCCTTCTCTGCGGTAGCCCCTGCTCTTTGGAACATTCTGCCCCCGGAGGTGCGATTGGCCCCCTTACTCCTGGCCTTCTGAAGGGCCTTGAAGACCCTTCTGCCACTTGGCCTGGGGCAGGGAGGGAATACTTCAAGCAGGAGGATGGCTAGCCCCATAGTGGCCAGATCTTCGCAGCCTGATTTTGCATCTCCTTGGATCTCCCTTTTTTAGTATTGTTTTAAATTTTGAATGTATTGTGTTTTAGATATATTTATAGTTTTAATGTTTTTTGTAAGTCGCCCAGAGTCCCCTATTGTGGGGGAGATGGGCAGGGGAAAAATCCAATAAACAAACAAACAAACAAATAAATAAATAAAATCATGATACAGGCTCTGCCCTTTCATACTTGTATCGTAATGTTGCATGCAAGTATATAAGGAGTGGAGTTTGAGTCACAACGTCATGACATAGATTTATCATTTTGGTATCATGGGGGCCCATACCAAGTGCAGTCCCAAATGACATACCTGTTATATCTGAGGAAGTATAAACTCATCCAGATGCAGGAGAATCCATTTCATGCTTCAGATCATGATCCTACACAAATATCACCACAGCCTTCCTACTGTTCAGTTTCAATCTATTATCTCTCATCTAGCCTACAACTGCCAGTAGACAGGCATTTAGGGAAATAATCCCCTTATTTGAGAACAATAATATGGAAAAAGTAGATTTGGGTGACATCAACATATTGGTAACACTCAGCATCAGATATGTCTTTACCCAACAGTTTCACATGGGTGTTTAAAAGCACTGGTGATAGAATGAGGGATTCCTGTTTACAGGAGCAACTATCACTGAGCACCATCATATGAGATGGCAGCAGAACCACTACAATGTTGTGCCCCCATCCCCAACATTTTGAGATGGGTCCAGAAGGATACCATGGTCTGTGGTACTGAAAACTGCTGAGACAACTGAAAGAACCAACAATCCCACTTCCTCTTTTCATATCAGGCCAATCAAGGCCAACTCAACCCTCTGGCCTGATCTAGAGCAGGCTTGAAATAGGCTTTGACAACCCATTCATTTCAAGGCCATTTGAAACTGATTAGTTTTCACTCTATCATTTTCCACAATCAATAGATCTAGGGCAGGCTTCTTAAGATGTCTTTACCTGCTATAAACATTAAAGCATCTTGCCCTAACTTAGGCATTAAAATGCTGCCCTATTGTAGTGAGGCATTAGTGATATTAACTAGGCCAATTACAATGGCCTCCTTACATGATGAAGTCAATGAAAGAAGAGGTGTTAAGTCATAACACCTTAAATAGTAGTATTCACATTTTAAGCAGTCACAAACTGAAACTGACCAAATATAATCTTGCAAGGTTGCTGGACTGCAGCAGTATTGGAACTCATGTCAGCCCAGAAATGTAGACTTCATCTGCAAAGAATTAAAAGTGATGCAGTCAGACATACAGTACATTCTTGGCAGAATTTGTTCAGGGAAATGTAAAGGTTTGTGCATTTACTACACATTCAGACTAAATTTTCAAGAGCCCAACTGGTACTTCAAAACGACTTCTGCTATGGTGAATTATCAGGGGCTGCTTGTTAGTGATGCGTATAGTGGCACCCCACATTCTCTTAAGATCATCAGCACCCCACACGACTCTCCCCCCCTTTTAAGAGGAGGATTCTAGCCGGATGCACTTTCCAAGTGTTTAGCTCTCTACATGAATGAGCCACTTTCTACACACTCTCCTCTCCTGCTTCTGTGTAGCCTCCATCTCTCCCTGTTAACAGTTCAGGACTGTATGCTGCACATGGCCTATTATTTTCAGCTTTTCCATCCATCTCTTCACTTTTCTCCAACCTGTTAAAATACGATTCCAGCTTTGTTCTTAAAAATAATACCAAATACCAAAGGCAGTTTGAGTCAGAGCTATGGTTTGCAGAGCAGCGGATTCCATGTCACCTTTTCACATGGATGCCTTGGAAGAAGATATGACATATAGATAGGGAGCTTGTAGTAAGCCTTCTGCCTTTCAACTGTGGTGCTGGAGAAGACTCTTAAGAGTCCCCTGGACTGCTAGGAGGTCAAACCAGTCAATCTTAAAGGAAATCAACCCT